GAGAGGATGTCTCACAGTCCCCTCCCTACCCCTACCCCCACACACCTCTCCCTTCCATCACTGGCCAATCCTTCCCTGCCAGCCTGCCCAGTCCCTCCTTCCCCACACCTCCCCCTACCCCCCAGTCCCAACGATGTGACCAAGTATGAGCATTTTGTAACACTTTGATGAATCTGATCGGTGCTTCAGTTTCCCCTACATGCTACACTGTCACCCTGTGGGTGTAAAAGGCCTGTTTGCTCCGGGGCAGGCTGACCTAGGTGTGATTGGCACCTAGCTGTCTGGGCCTTAGGCCTTCTGTCAATTAAGCATCGATGACAATGGCAAATCCAATGCACTGACTTAGCAGGGACCCTGAGGGAGATGGATTTCCTCTTCTCTCTTCAGGGAGGCTGAACAGCATTTCCCCAGGTTAAGAATAAAGGGCTGGGAAGAGGCGAGGTGGGGGAACAGAGCTGGCTGCTGGAAGGAGCTTGGAGGCTGATAGAGAAGAGCAGACGGAGAGAGACAGACACAGCTTGAGTCAAGGGGTCACCACAGCTTAGCTGGGCTCTGGGGTATCAAAATGGCCTGTGCTTTAACCTTCAAGTCCATAGACTACCTCAGGCCTTCCTGCACTGTGTTCCAGGCTGCGAATTGACCCGGCTGCTCTGACAATGCTGTGGGAGAGTCCCTGCCAACACTCGGTGAGGTGCACTGGTGCCCCAAACGCGGGCAGGGCTGCCATAGCCGGGCCCGCTGAGCTGAGCTGGTGGTGTGACACAGGAGAGCTGCAGGCAATGAGGACTAAGGATATTAAGAGGCGGGTAACCGGCTAATTGTGTCGTCGATACAATTTGTATCAACGACACGATTAGTCGATAAGGGGAGGCGCTCTGTCCTGGCTCGCGCCGGTCCAGGCGCTACCCCTGCTGTGGCTCTGCAGTTTAAATGTAGTAGGAGCCGGGCACACAGGCAGCGCTGCTGTTGGGGTAGGTCCCAGACCCGGCGCGAGCCTGGCAAAGTCCTGGCTCGCTCCAGGTCCGGGACCACTGCGACTCTGCATTTTAAATGTAATAGGAGCCGGGCCAGGCTGACTCTTACTATATTTAAAATGCAGAGCCACATTGTGGGAAGGTCCCAGACCTGGCGCAAGCTGGGACTGAGCTGGACTTGCACAGTCCCAGCTCATGCTGGCTCCAGCAGCCCCTGTCCACACTACAGAGACGGTGCTGGGGGGCACCAGCTTTTAAGCCAGCTCCCCCCAGCACCTGCTCTTGCTTCCTCCGCCCCCCGCACTGTCTTTGATACAGAGGCAGGAAGGTGGGGGGAGGGAATGTGAGTAGTCGACTCGACTACTTGCTTACATGCCTAATGAGGACCAACCAAAGGAAGTGGTGAAGCCAAGTTGCTTACCCTGGGGGACTCGCACGCTGAAGGGGCTCCTCTGACCTAGACACTGTTCCAAAGCTGGGAACATAGCCCCGATCCTGTGGGTCTGTGACACCCGTCCCGCCCTCTCCACCCAGCTCCAGTGACCCAGCTCTTACCTGCTGCCTTGACCTCCCTGGCTGGACCAATGGCATCGTCACTGGAGGGGCTGTCTGCCAGCACCACCAGCACCCCTGGCACACCAGGCCGGCGCCCTGCACTGGGGCTCAGCATGTAGATCCTGGCAAAGCTGGGGGCAGCTCCTGCAGAGAGAAAGGGTATCGCTACCAAGCAGGATCGGTGCCACCTCCATCACGCCCCACATAGGTCCTGCCATGTCCCCTCCCCCTTCGCCACTCACCCCCGCCTGAGGTGAAGTCCAGAGCAGGACCCCAGCGCCCTGGAAAGGTGTTTATCTGGCCTGGGGGGGGCCACTGCACAGGGCTCTCGGGGCACAGGGCCACCTCCTTCCCCCCCCCTCCCCATTCTGTCCACATCCCTTGGCCTGCCTGGGGGAGGCCGCCTTTCACTGGAGTTGTGACCGCTCTAAGAAGCACAACATCCAATGCTGGCACTGTGGGGCAGCCCCGGCTGCAGGCCCAGTGCCCCTTACCCAGGGCACTGCCGCTGGGCTCCTCGTAGCGCATGGTGGGCACAGGGCCACCTCCTTCCCCCCCCCTCCCCATTCTGTCCACATCCCTTGGCCTGCCTGGGGGAGGCCGCCTTTCACTGGAGTTGTGACCGCTCTAAGAAGCACAACATCCAATGCTGGCACTGTGGGGCAGCCCCGGCTGCAGGCCCAGTGCCCCTTACCCAGGGCACTGCCGCTGGGCTCCTCGTAGCGCATGGTGCGGAATGACGATCCCATGCCAGGGGAAGGGGAGACACAGGATGGCCCGAGGCAGCCCCCAGCGCAGGTGGCAGAACAAGAGGCATGTGTGTGAGGTGCGTCAGTGGGGAGACCCAGAGCCCTGCCCCCCATACCTGTGTGGCGTCAGGGCCCAGGCGGCCCAGCGCGGAAACAGTGTTGGTGAGCAGGGCGCGGACGGCCTCAGCGCTGTAGGCACTGTCCCGGGTGCCATGCACCAGGAAAATGACGTCACCACGAGCATCTCTGCAAACTGCACAGGAGAAGGCGCTGAGGGTGAGGAGCAGGAAGAAAAGCCCAGCGCATCTACACTCCTGGGGGTGGG